TAATAATAATAATAATAATAATAATAATAATAATAATAATAATAATAATAATAATAATAATAATAATAATAATAAATAATAATAAATAATGGTAATAATAATAATAATAATAATGATGATGATAATAATATTGAATAACAGTGACGCTTTCCAGTCTTAAAGCATTCTTTGAGCGATATTTTTAAACGCTTCATGACAAGTGCACAATTGGACGTAAACAATAGAGTTGTTTAAATTTATTTTAAACTTTTTCAATCTTGAAGTTTTAGTCGTTTTGATTAAAATAAACTTACTTTTGCTTTCACTTTTGCTTACTTCGTATCATCTTGTTTCATCTATTTCTATCTCAATTCATTAATTATTACTGATAACTTAAAGATAAGTGTTATCAGGGAAAAAAAAGGGAGAATTAGGAAAGATTTATGAAAAAAAAAAAATGTATTTTTGTTTGATAACAAAGAAATGATGAACGAAATATATTTATATATATATAACAAAAAAATGAATCGATTTTAGTCATTATAAATAATCTTTTAACGAATATTTAAAAAAAGAAAGTCAAATAAATACAGTGATAACTGATATATTGTACCTTGTTAATGATAAGAAGTGATTATGTACAGCTGTTTATTTAAAGTGTTTCGAAAATGAAAAAAAAAAAAGCATTGCATTTCAAAGATATATTATTAATTGTTTACAATTTTTCGAGAATAATTATTGATCCTTTTGAAAGATATAAATTATGATTTTTGTCACACTTTTTTTTCTTCTTTTTTGTGAAATATTGATTAATCCATGAATATTTATGAAATTTTAGAATTTTCAAACCTCATTTTATCAATGATGACAATTGAAGATGATGGAATTGTTGGACCAGATGGATTGGAAAGTAATTTTGATTCACAAGCCTATCTTTGGGTATATTCTTTTAAATCTATAACACAACGTAGTTAGATTATTGGATAAATTTGCATATATCTTTGATTTATTGAAATGATAAAGTTAATCAATTGAAATGATAAGATTAATACAGAATTGGAAAAGGTTGATCTAAAATAGTTAAAATTTGCTATGCAATGATATACAACAACAAACATGAATCTTAATACTTATTACATTTCTGTATCAATTATAATTTTAATAAATATTGGTTAATCAATTAAAATTTGAAATCGGACACAAATTTATGTCATTACAGAGCATCGAAATTAAACTATATGAGAAAATAATAATGACGAGAGAAAATTTTAATTGAGAAAACAAATAAAATATGAAAATATGCGGAATAATTAAATGATTGAGGGAAAGAAATTTTTTTTTTTTAACAAAATTTTTTTAATAAATATTTTTTTTTTTAATATTAGTTATATGATTGAGTGCAATTTTTGGACTTTAAATTAAATTAAATTTTTATTATTAATTTAGGATTTTTATCAATGTATTGATGATCCGGCAATGCAAATGATGATTATGTTATTACCGACAATTGCTGAACGTATCGATTGTTATGATAATCTTCTGGATTTTGGTGCTGGACCAACTATACATGTTTCAGTTGTTTTTAGAAATAAAGTAAACAATGTAAGCATATCCATACTATCCGGTTATAAATTTTCTGTTTCTTCTTTTTTTATCCTATAGTATTCCGGATAAGGATAAATTGATATTGATAATTTTTAATTAAACGATTGTAGCAAATTTCATCGTTCAATAAAGTAGGAAATTATATTTTATCATCTATAATTAGCATATCCAATTATCCGGATATAAACTTTTTGTTTCCTCCTCTATTATCCTATAGGTATTCCGGATAAGGATAAATTGATATTGATAATTTTTAATTAAACGATTGTAGCAAATTTCATCGTTCAATAAAGTAGGAAATTATATTTTATCATCTAAAATTGGTGACATGAAAAATGAATTAATTTCAAAAATAACATTTTTATTCTTTATAATTATTATTAATATTATGTTGCTATCGTTTTTTTTTTTTTTTTATGATAAATTTTGGCAATATTTTGAAATTTAGTTAACCAGGCGACGAAAAATTAATGCACAGATAGTTTTCTTTTTTTTGTAAAATAGTTTGTAAAAGGTTTTAAAATTGCAATATTATGACAGT